GAAAATAAGCTGCCACCATTTTTTTTAAAAAATGTTGAGTTAAATGGGGAAGACTTTAAAATTCTAAGCCACAAACCACAGGAAAGCTGATCCACTTAAATATTTCAAGTGTTTATTTTTGTCAGGATTTTGATGGAATCAATGTTAATCTCCTTGCGGAAAGGTAACGCAGACACACTGACAATTTGGCATTCCTCTTTGCGGTGTTGTACAGCAGCCTCGCTCTACATAATTTATAAGGCCCTAGAAACGTGAGTCAGATTTTCCCAATATTTGTATCAGAGAGGGGAAGCAGAAAGTAGAAAGTCCAGTGGATTTTCTTCTAGCTTCTCAGCAAGAGCCCCGCTAAGAGGGCCATCATGCTAACCAGGAGTGACGGCATGGCCCCGCAGTCCCAGGTACCTGGGGAACTGAAGCAAGAAGGTCGCTTGAACTCAGTGGTTCAAAGCCAGCTTGGATGACACAGCAAGACCCTGCCTCCAAATAAAAAAGCGAAAGATACCATTCTGTAAAGCCCAAATCATTTTCTTTTTAAGGGAGTACAAATCGATGGCTAAGCTATCTTGCTCCTCTTGAAAGGAGCTGGTATTGATGAACACAGAAAAACTAAAGACAAAAGGAAAACCTGTTCCAGCAAACAAAAGAGAGTGTGGAACTCAAACACAGATTTAACTCAGAATGAAATCTAAACTGTCCATAATGCAAGACTTTCACCATGAGCCTTGGCTCTGTAATGTAAACCACGCCAGGCCGAGTTTATCCCCAGAGGTGTCCTTTATCCCCTGAAAGCCGAATAAAATATCAGAATGTCACTTCCAACAGTTGCCTTGTTGTAAAAACACTAAGGAATATCAATGTGTGTGATCAAATAAATTGATTTAAATACCCTAATGGAATAGTGTTCCAATATCTTCAGTACGTTTTAAGACATTTTTAGCAAAAGATTTTCAGTATATCCCATTAAAGCAGTGTTTCTGTTTAGCAAGATAAAGTAAACTAGGTAGGGTGTGGTGACATGTACCCAGATCTGAATCTTCAGAGGTTGAGACAGGAGAAAGAGAGGTCCAAGGCCAGCTTATCTAATTTGTCTATGGCCAGCTACATGAGATGCCATCATGAACTTCCAATCTACAGCCAGCTGGAGAATCCATTTTGTACAAGTAGAGCAATGAGTTGTCAGGGTGCCCCAGATTTACAGAAGAGTGGGATCATCCATCACAGTCCAGAAAGGAAGTGAAAAGGAGAATGTGCCAGAAATATGAGCAAGAAAATCAGACTGAACACTGATTTCATAAACCAACTATCCAACATGCTCAGACTCCTCTTATTCGCCCCTACGTGTGTGTGTGTGTGTGTGTGTGTGTGTGTGTGTGTGTGTGTGTGTGGTGATCCACACCAATGTGGAAAAGCTAGAAACCCACAATCCCTTGCAATTCAAGAAACTAAAAAGTAGCATATACAGGGATGCACAGCTAATCAGTGGGCAAACTTCTGGAGTCCAGCCATAGTGAGGGAGGAGCGATATTACAAGCAAAGGGGCCAATACCATGATGGGGAAACCCACAGAAACAGCTGACCTGAGCTAGTGGGAGCTCACTGACTCTGGACTGACAGCTGGGGACGCTGCATGAGACTGAACTAGGCCCTCTGAATGTGGGTAACAGTTGTATGGCCTGGGTAGTTTGTGGTCACTAGGAGTGGAACCAGTGTTTATCCCTAGTGCATGAACTGGCTCTTTGGAGGCCATTCCCTATGGATGGAGAACTTGCCCAGCCTAGATATATGGGAGAGGACCTTGATCCTGCCTCAAATGATGTGACAGATGTAGCTACCAAGGTCTTTTTCCCTTCAGGGCCGTGTGACCTCCGGCTCCCTGGAGATTCTGCACTAGCGCTGGCTTGAGGGGATAGCTTAGCAAGAACCTGGCTCTCTTTGTTATGGTGATTCCACCTGTATTCAAGGTTCTAGCAGTGGGCCCATAGCCTGGACTCCCCCAGCTGATTCTGCCTGAGGCGCCAGGGCCTTTATTCTCCTTCCTGCTTCTGTTGGGAGAAGGCCTTGCCCTTTCTGATCCCGCTTGCCCACTTCTATAAATACCCGACTTGAGTTTAATAAAGTGGCCATTTACTCTTGGTAAATGAGCAAAGGTCTCTTTTTTGTGTGTGTCTGTTTTAAACCCTCAGGACAATCGTCCATTCTCGTGGGCCCGAGTTCGGGAAGGCGCGCACCTGGATCGGGTGTGGGTATCCACTGGAAGGCGAGTTCTAACAACAGATTTTGTTGACTCCCCATGGGAGGCCTCACCCACTCTGAGGAAAGGATGGGGGTGGGGTGGGGAGAAGATGGGGGGAGCAGGAGGACAGGAGAGAGAGGGAACTGGGATTGGTAAGTAAAATAAGATTGTTTTAAAAATTAAAAAAAAACTAGCATTTAAATTTCCATAAATAAGTCTTAAATCTCAGAATGGATTCTTCTCATTTCTATATGATAGTAGAACCCCTCGGAAAAAGCACTAGACATTTTGAGAAGCACTGGGCAGGGAATATGGCAGAGAGCCATGAAAAGAAAGGGCGACCAAAGTATCTAGAAAAAGCCTTCGGGAGTGGAGAAATGACTCAGCCATTAAAAGCACTTTCTGCTCTTGTAGAAGACCTGGCTTTGTTCCCCAGTACCCACAGAGCAGCTCACAATAACCTGTTATTTCAGTCACAGGGGATCTGGCACTCTCTTCTGGCCTCTGCAGGCACCAGGCATGCAAGTGATGTACAGACATGCATGTAGGCAAACACGCGTATACATAAAATATAACAGATAGATCTTTAGAAAGAACTTCAGCAGTTGTATGGATTTGATATCAATATCTCCTTTTACCGTTCAATTCGTATATTTCACTTTGAAGTCCTAATTTACAAAGTATCAATATCTCTAACCATGCCTCCATCTCTTCCCTTGAGTCTATTTTGTATTTCTCCAAATTAAAATTCTAAATATATTTATATGTCTTAAATTATTTAACATCAACTTCATCTCAATTCAGCTGTAAAATAAATTGTGGGGGCTGGAAAGATGGCTCAGTGGTTAAGGGTGTAGACTGATCTTGTAGAGGTCCCAAGTTCAGTTCCCAGTACCCACATCTGGCATCCCACAATCACTTCTAACTTCAACTCCAGGAGAGGGACTCCAAAGTTATCTGTACCCATACAGGTGCATGCATGCGCATGCACAAGCACACACACACACACACACACACACACACACACACACACACAACATCATCATCATCATCCTTCTGAGACTGTAGTGACAGCTCTGTGATGTATTAGTAATTTCATCTTATACCTCTGTCTCACTGGTCAAAATGCCACAGTTATTTCATCATGAGCATCTGATAAACCGCATACTCTATAATTTATATAAATATTAACTCTGAGAATTCAGGAAATGAAACTGGAAGCAAACAATGGGAGTCACTGTAGTTTTCTTAAACAGAACAAAGATTACATACTTAGGAACAATTTAAGATGTTTAGATTTTAGAATGTTTAATCTATCTTTAATGACCTCTATTATTATTATTATTAATAATATTATATTATTATTATTAATATTAATAATATATTATTATTATTATTATTATATCTTTAGATATTATAATCTACTAAATATCTACTAAATTATTAGTAATTTACTAAATTATAAATTAGTAAATTAGTAAATTACTAAATTATAGTAGTAAATATACTACTATATAATACTAAATATAATTTAGTATTATATCTACTAAATAGTAGATATTTCTACTATCAGCACTTCCTGTTTGAGACAGAGTCACACCTTCCAGCTCTGGCTGGCCTCCAACTCCTTATATACACCATGCTAATCTCAAATTGACAGAAATCTGCCTGTCTGACTCTGCCTTACAGAAATCCGCCCCCTGTCTCCCAAGTTCTGGGATTACAGGTGTGCTGAATGCTAAACTCATTGTTTTTTAAGAGAAATAAAAATGGAAAAGCAAGACAGTCCATCCCACAGACACCCTTTCTCCAAGACAGCTACACAGGGACAATTGACACAGTTACTAAGGAAGAATATTTCCTTCTAGTGGATTTTCACACTTGCATAAGGATCTCCTCATAATACCATACTGCTCCCCTAAAACAAACCATCCTTTACACAATGCAATCACAGTGTTAGTAATCAGACATCCGTAATTGCAGCAAAGGCTACATCCAGATACGGGTATCCTCACGACCTGAAGCAGTGATGTTCAAACATCCTGCAGGGTGGGCCATTTCTTATATTATTTCATCTGTTACCATCCAATAAGTTTGCAAAACACACTCAAATAAATTGTTAGAAACTTGTTTGTTTGTTCTGGAGTTTCATTTTGGTTTTCTCATCATCAGTGTGCGTAAGTGTGTACCATGTGTGTGCATGAATGCCAGGCTTGTGTCACCACATGTGTGTTGAGGTTGGAGGACTTTCTTTGGGAGTGTGTCTCTTCTTCCAACATAGAATCCAGAAACGGACTCTGGTCTTCATGCCAACCATCACTTTAAAGACTTGGAAAACATAAGCCTAACTTTTAATTACTACTGTCAAATTTAATCGATAAAATTATTCCCTTAAATTTCTTTTTTAAAGTTGGCTTACAATATAATGGGTTTCAGTGTGTGTGTGTGTGTGTGTGTGTGTGTGTGTGTGTGTGACATTTTGCTTCGTTCTTATTTGTCACTGTCTCCCACCTCCTCTCAAAGAGGCCATTCTCTCAAATTTCTGAAGTGATATTTGCAGTATTTCCTTTCAAATTTAACCAGCCATCAGCAGATATCTGTGAGCGACCCTGGTGTGGGGCCACACAGTTCCTATTTCGGGGCCCCGTTGACCATCACACTCAAGATCCCAGCATTGCCCTCTCTCATTGAGCTTCTTGGGACCCACACTTGGCAGAGCGCTGGCCTAAAGTACCATGCATATATTTACTTAAGAGATATACTTTACCTCTGACATTCCTTCCAAAGCCCATTGAGGAAAGCTTTTTGTTCACTTGTTCACTCATGTTTGATTTCTCCTTGATGACATCATCGTCGCTAACGACGTCAGCAGAAAATTTTTTCTTTTTCTTTTTCTTGTGCCGAGGCGGAAGCTTTTTTGGAAAAGTAAACATTGGGAATATCACAAGAAACATTGCCATGGCACAAAGGAGGAATCCACTCCACCTAAAAAATTGGGAAATGTGAGTAGCATTTTTGGCTTCGGTCTGGAGCAAGAACAAATCATAAAGATGGGTTTGTCGTGATAACACTGCAAAGACATCATTGCACCTTCGTCAAGTATAAGGCAGAAGAAAATTGAACCAACTGAGAAAATCAAGGTAATTTGCCTTCCTGTGGCATGAATGGAAAAATTCATAGTTATACGCGGATTTTAGTGACTATTATATTCAGCAACTTGGTTAGAATGCCATTCAAGAAATCTGCGTACAATCAGTTTTGTTAGAGAATGCATTTCATTAGTTTTTTTCTTTTTCTTTGTTTGAGCCTGAGTCTCATGTAATCCCAACTGACCTCAACCGATTATTATTTCAGGGTGACCTTGACTGTCTCACCTTCCTTCCTTTACAGCCCAATACCAAGATGACAGGCATGAGTCACCATACCTGGCTACAATAAATTTATTAGAAAAAAATAATAGATTACCTCACCTGCTATGAAGAGCAATATAACTGAAAGAAAGCAAATAGCTCTTGTCAGATGTACTTTGTTTGATGGTCATTTTGTGATGGAGATTGAAGCTACACCCTAACTTTATGTGCAGTGTATTTCTGATTGCTGATGGGGCTTCCATATTTTTACAAGTACTTAAGAATGTATTGATCGCACCCCCCCACTTATCCAGTCCTCACAGTATTTAACTGATATAATAGACAGCAAGACATTCATAGTTGGTCTTTGTCATCAAGAACTTAAGACTACTGTAAGCCAAAGATATAAGAAACACCCACCAAGAAGCGCAAGAAGATAGACAACTGAGCGTTGAATCCTATTTTGTAGTTTGTGTTCCAGCAAGCTTCCTAGAAGATGTGTTAATCTAGTGCTTGGGACAGGTTATATATTCAAAAATTTTGCCCAATACATAAATTGAAAGAAGTGGATTTACAAAGGTGGCAGGTATCAGTGTTGGGGACCATAGCTAGGTCAACATGTCTCCTTCAGAGCCTGGATGCTTATGGGCCCTCGTCAATCATTCCCCATTACCCCCTGGAATTAGAGTCCCCAAGCTGCTTCACTATCTCAGCCCTGCACCCTCCATCCTTGAGAGGGCAGGCAGGAGAGTCAGGATATTCATGAGCTGCGGTTTAGACACATCCGGGTTTGGATTCTGTCTTTACCACTTGCTAACTATGAGATCTTGGGGACTTATTTTACTTCTCCTAGTTGAATTTCTCGTCTGGAAAGGGGGTAAAAAAATGCTTCTGAGAGTCCTCAAATTTAAAGATGATCCTTACACCAGACCTAATATGCAGTAGCTACTTCGGTTCTGATTTTTATGTTTTAATGTTTTATGTTTGATGTTTAATGTTTTATGTTTTAATGAGCAGTAATTACGTTGGTTCTGTTTTTTAATGTAGATCTGCACTCAGACTAGATCTTCAACCTTCACCCAGCCTGTGATGATACAGAATTTCATGCAAGCATGAAATTGCTATGCTCTTTTTCAGATGTTTTAAGATGTTTATTTACTACAAGTGTGTTTTGATATGGGGGTAGTGTGCTTGCCACATTATATGTGTGGGGGTCAGAGGACAGCTCTGCGGAATCGGTTTTCCCCTTCAGCCTTCACATGGGCTCTGGGCAGTGGACTCTGGTGGCCAGGCTTGCAGAGCAAGCACCTTGCCCACTGAGCTATTTTTTCCAATTCTCGAGATACGCTGTAACAGCTGCGAAGAAGGGAAGCATTACCTCAAGCAAATAAAAGCGGGACAGCATGTGATCAATTCAAAGCAAAGCAAACCAGTTAGAGTCCTCACTAGCTTCAAGAAATAGCCTTATGAAGCACGAGATAATGGAAGCCACTGAGGCCCTGCTGAGGAGGACTCTGAGAGAAGAGATGACAGGGGAATGTACAGCATACACTAGGAAGAGACCTCAATCACAGTCAACACTGAAAGGCCCAGGTATCTAAACCCCTTTCATGAACCATTACTCAACCCCGTCAAAAAGTAGGCAGTCAACGACAGCTCTGCCCTTCTCAGTTCCTTAACCCAGCCTGCTGCACAGAGGCTTTCTGCAAGTAATTCACTTCCCCAAATATTAATTTCTTCTCCTATAAAATGGGCACGATGTTAAAAGCTACATTTGATTGTTAAAAGGCTTAAACGAGTATATGTGTAAAGTTTTAGTATAACACTTGACACACATTGAGTGTCTAATAAATACCGCCATAATTTCACCCTTCACTCCTTCATCCTCTATTTAATGAAAATCTACCTTTGGTGCTGGGTATTGCATTCAATGAGAAACAATTACCAGCAAGACTACTGAACAGAAAAACATTCAAATTCATTTTTAAACAGACTCAGCTAACTCTAAACTGACAATAATTTATAGAATTAGGATTAAGCCATTAGTGGTTAGATATAATTATCTAACTATTGGTAAAATTTAAAGCCCTGAAGATGCCTTGGTCAGGTGGTGCAAGTCCATAATCCTAACTAACTACTTAGGAGGCAGAGGCAGAGGACTGCAAGGTCAAGGCCAGCCTGAGCAACTTGGTGAGCTCAAAGAAATAATTAAAATAAGAAAGAAAAATCTAGAAGAGGTGTATCATAGAGATAGAGCACTTGTTGGGTATGTGTGAGACCCTTCACTGAATCCCCTATTGATCTGCAAAAAACAAAACAAAAACAAAAACAAAACAACTGAAGGCTAGGACTTGCTACAAAGGCAAAACAGGATAAACTCAGAGCTCTTCATAGTCAACTCATTCCTAACAACAACCCTACAACCAAGGCACAGACAAATTCCCCCAAGTCCACATAGCTATGTGGAGCACACTAGCAAAATGCAACATTAGGGTCCGTGCTCCACATTGAACCATTAACCACCAGTTGAGTAAATGCCCGTCCACTAGAAAACTGATAAACAACAGCCCGAGGCACAGGTCAGATGAGAGTTTCTGCCATCCTCCCTACCCCTTGCCCATCCGTTGGTGCTTCTGTTTTCCCATCCCTAGGCTCCATTCCTACCACACTCATCTCAGGATATCTAAGGAGGATGCTGGGAACACACTGGATGTTCATCAGCCTACTTTAGGAATTCCTTTTCAAATGATGACAAGCAATTTTGATTCTGACTCATTCTAGAACCTCGATGAAAACAGCTGAGATCAAAATTTTCACTATCAGTCAAGAACTCAAAACCCCATCTGACAAGAGTTCTCCTCTTTGTATGACTCAAACACTCTACAGACCAAGCTCACCTGGGTGTTAGCCTGTCTAGCTTCAGTGTGGGATAGGATAAAAGTCAGAACTGTCAAACTGCCTCATTAATATCAGTTAACTTTCTAGAAGTTTGTGTTAAGTATATTTCCCACCAATCACAGAATTAAAGGGTTCTTATCTTACAATAAAACAGGATAAAGCACTCTAAGCCCCTCTCCTGAAAGGAATTGTGTGACACATGTAATTTCTAGTACTGAAAAGTTGTTTGCCACAAAATGAAAATCTGTCACTATATACCTGCTACTGACCCAGCAACATGAATTCGGGACACCAATATTTTCTGTCAGTGGCTCTGTTGTCACGAAGAAATAACCTGTTTCCTGCCAGTTGAGGACTACGAAGAACTATTCACCTGGCAAGAACACAAACAGTATACCACACCATGCTAAAATTCCCCGGCGTTGTGAGCATCGCTGCTGCGGCAGGACTCTTACAGCCTAGCAAGTGAGAGACAGGCTAAATGTACAGCACATGTCGGGACACAAACTATTTCCAAAGAGAAAAGATCTGTCCAGTGGAGCAAGGGGAAAGCGGGGCTGGAGATCTGAGCCAGGGAGGACATGCAATTCTAAGTTCTTGTCAACTTCATGCCAGCCAGGGTCATCGGGAAAGCAGGAATCTCAGCTGGGAAATTGCCTCCACCACACTGGTATGGGTAAGTCTGTGCGTAGTTTCTCCATTTGTGATGCATGTGAGAGGACCCAGCCCGCTGTGGGTGGCTCCACCCTGGGCAGATGGCCCTAAGTTACTTAAGGATGCAAGCCGAGCAAGCTACAAAGAGCAGGTCAGCAAGCAGCATTCCTCTGTGGCTTTTGCTTCAAGCTCCGGTTAAGCTTCCTTAGCTTGCCTTGGTAATGGGCTGTACTCTGCAAACTGGCGTACCCTTTGTTCCCGCCAGTTGGTTTTGGTCAGTGTTTTATCACACCAACAAAAACCTAAGTAGGACAGAAAGGTTTTTTTTTTTCCTCTAAAGCACAAAAAAGAAGATGGAAGACAGAGTTAAAGAGACCTTTTCGGAAAGTCCCCTCAGGGTCACAGAAGCCCTCTTCCTGCACTCTGCTTAAGACACAGTGGCCCAAAACACCTCTGTGTTGATTTCCTGTGGCTGCTATAACAAGTTATCCCACACGAACTGACCCGCACAACACAAGCGCATCGACTCCAGCTACACACGGACTCAGCTCCTCACTCTGGGCCTCAAGACTTCTACACACACCATCTGAAGTCCTAGCTAGAGAAGAATCCGTCTCCTCCCTCTCTCTCTCCCCACCCCCCCCCGGCTTCCCCCCCACTGGGCCTGCAGCCCGCCTTATTTTGCTCATAGCCTTCCCCTACCTTCTTAGTGAACTTCCGCGATCTCCACTTCAGTCAGCAGATCTCTGAATCCGGCTCCTTACCTCATCTCTTCACCTAAGATACTCTCCCCTTCTCCAAATCCTTAACTTGATCATCTCTGCAAAGTCCCCTCACCACAGCTGGTCCCAGAGTCATAAGCTCTGGGGACAAGGAAATGGCTGTTTGTGGAGGAAATCACCCTGCCTACCATCTGTTACAGGTAATGCCTAGCTACAGTTTTTCCGTCTTCTTCACTGGGAAAATTGTAACTGCAAAGTAGTACTGACTGTCCAAAATGGAGACACCACTCACCAGTTTCCGATGAAACGAGGGTCGTTCTGATCAAGGAGAACAGGATTTCTGGGATCGACATAGAAACCAATGAGTAGCCCGCCTAGTAAATATCCTACTGCGGGGCCAAGTGCTCCCATGACGTACATGATGGCTGAGGAGACAGAAGGGGAAAGACATCAGGTAGACAACGTTACACAAGAGCTGAAAGTTCTCGGACCTTATCATCACACCAAATATGTCATAGCTAGGTCCCGTGCCCGTCTTCTGAGATGTTCTCGCTGACATTGGGCTTCAAACTTTGCCCTTTAAGGCACTGTCTCCTGCTGCCTTTCTACAGCGTCAGAATCACTTAGCGAACTTTTGCGGTTACATCTGTTTTGACTTTTAATATGAGTATCCAGGCCACTCCCTAGAACCACTAAATTCAACTTTCTGGTTTATTAACATATACTTCTGGTCTGTGATAACGGGTTTCATCGTGGCATTTCCATACCTATGATGCATTTTTATCATATCACAGCCCTTACTGCTTCATATTCCCTTCATGCTGATCCCCTCCTCTTCCCACCCAGCCCCTCCTCTACTTTCATATCTTTTTTATGACTTAAAAATTTCCATCACGGTTTCAAACAGGGTCCTGGGTGAGAGATTCAAATTCAAAGTTTGAAAGTACAGACCCGGGCTAGTTAATAAGGCCATTTTTGGCTAGCCATGGGACATGAAAGGAAGAGGCAGAGGAGCGATCCTCCAAGTGGAAAAACAGTGGGTCTCATTTGTCACAGCTGGAATATTCTAGCAAGATGGCAAATCTGGAAGGCAGAGTTGTCCTGAAGACTGGATGCAGTTCAAAGAGCAGGTAACTAGCGGGCACTGCCCAAGTGCTCACCACCTATTAACATTTTTGCTAATTTTAGAATCAAATGAGATTTTAGGATGCCTTTGGTTCACTGCTAGTTTACATGACATCATTCAGAAAGTACAAGCGGGAAGCATCAACCACAGATGGACCAGAAACTAGTTTGTTAGAACTCGTCTGAAGAGCAGGGTGAGGGCGTCTTATTTTACACAGGTCAGAAAGGCAGTTGCTGGAGTCAAAAAACTTTTACTGTCAAGATGGATTGTAACAGAGAGAGAGAGAGAGAGAGAGAGAGAGAGAGAGAGAGAGAAGGAGGGAGGGAGGGAGGGAGGGAGAACAATGCTATTAGTATCCTTTTTCTGGGTTTTTTGAGACAGGGAACTACACCAGGCTAGCCCTAAACTTGGGCTCCTCTTGCTGCATTAGCCTCCAGGTTATGGAGCTACAGGTGCATGCCACTATTCCTGCCTCTGGTCCACTTTTTCCATATTTCTATTGTCACTTCTAAAATGCCAGGTTGGAAATCTTGAGGTGGAATATGGAATTTCTTAAAAGTCACTAAAGACTCTAGAGATACTTCTCATGCATTTCCCGCTACTCAGACTCCATCCTTGGGGACAAATCTATAGACATTTTTAGGTCACAGGTGCACACCAGGCGTGAGGAAGAAACACTGGAGGCAAGCGTTGTTTGTTCCCATCACTGTTGCTCCTTGGCATCCACCATAGAGACGATGTTTATATACATATGTTTTTTAAACAGCACATCTTTACCAGAAAGTGACCAAGATGGCTTCACTCTATTTTGTTATCCACACCTAAATAAACTTTGACTTTGTCACTCTTACAGAAAGTCACAGACAGGACCAGGATGGTAACTCAGTACCTTCTCCCACCTTTTACACCACTACAAATAGAAATCACAGCGCTCATTTTACGGAATCATCATATAACGATAAGATTTCACTAATGGTGCTTCCGTTCTTCATCTGGAGATTTATAATGTAGCTATTATTTATGTTTCTCATATAAATATCTCACATGTCTGGTCGATAACATTTGATGTAGCTAACTGGTGCCATCATATGGCTGTGCCACACTGCATTTGATGTTCCCTCATGGGTACTACTTTGATTCACAGGCGGGTCGTTAAGGTTGTTCTTCAGAAAACGGGATTCGTCTATTTGATGCTTTGTCATATGTGTGCGACTGAAGCACCAACAAAAAAATCATGCCCTCCAGTTCCCAACCATATTCAAAACCCTCTCTGGTCTTTTGTGGAGCTAGGGAACCAATGGTGATGCGGAAGGACTGGAAAGGCCACCCTCAACTGCCAAGCTCTCCAACAGCCTCCTTGGACATTCTAGCAGGTTGAGTAAGGACAAGGGGAAGCTTGACCCAACAAAACCTTCCTAATTGTCCTGTTGTTTGCTTCTTCCCAGTGGTTCTGGCACTTGTCTGTGTCCCCATGTTTTGTTTTGTGTTTTTTTTTTTACCTTCAGACTTTATAGTTTCGCTTTGTTCTTAAGTTATTTTCCACCTGATCATTTTATTTCTGCTTTTTTACACTATATCATATGAACTGCTTTTCTGAAGCCCGCTCACCAATCCTCACACATTTAACATTCTCCTGGACAGATTTAGCCTCGATTGCAACCTGTCCTCTTTGACTTTTTTGTGTACATTCCTTGTTGCTGTCATGGTCAAATGTCTGACAGACCTTTTCCAAGGAAGGATTTTACTTGGTTTGCGGCTAGAGTGGATCCAGTCTATCATGACAAAGTTCACAGCTGTGAAAGTGTGTAACTATGACTACTCATGTGGATCAGGAGACCAAGAGAACTCCAAAGGAGACCGAGGTACGGTCATTGATACTGCCCTCTTGTAACCCATTCCCTCTGTCAAGGTTCCACCTCCTATTTCAGAAACTTCCCGAAATAGCCTCGCTAGCTGGAGAGCAAATTTCAACACATGAGCCTGTGGGAGACATGTTATATTCCAATCAGTCATTCCAGTCATTTCCATAGGCTCACAGCCATCTCATAACGCAAAATGCATCCAGCCTAACTTTAAAAGTGCCAGTCCTATAGTTCCAACAGCACCCTCTAGCTCCATGTCTAGCATCTGAGGTCTCTGATGGAAGCATTTGAGTTTAAAAGTCTCAGGTACCAGTCTGTACAATCAATGTTGCCTACTGCACGTGTCCTCTCTCTTAGGCTGGCAACGTTTCAGAACTTTAGCTTTCCTTGGATGACATCTCACAGTCCTGGCATCACCAGCGTCATAGGATCTCCATGACAAGTTAGGCTTCATCGTCACAGTATCGTGGAGTGGCCTTCAGGGCCTCCTCGATTGCAGAAAAGCTAACCCTGTGACACATTTGCTGGCTTCAGGACCGTTCTGAAACCTTGGTACAAGTTTCTATAACCCTATACCTCTTGCATTCTGCATGACTTCAAAGCAAGTAGTACAGTGGAGATGACATCAAATTTTGCTATAAGTACAAGATGTAACCTGGCCCCTTTTCTCCACAATTGCAGGGTCGTAGAGAGTCTGGGTGGCTGTAGCTGAGGAACATTGCTGTAGGTGGTCTTGCTGGGACAAGGAGACCCTGCCCTACCTATTTAGGCCTCTGCTTTTCAAGCACTTTCTTCTTAAATGTAAGTTTTCCAAATGGGTGATATTATTGCATGCTGGAGTTTTTCATGAGTGCGGTCTTCCCCTCCAGGTACTTATCCTATTATCCCAGTGCCAAATAAGGCAAGGATTACCTTTAATTGTGCAAATCCTTTTAATAATTATCTCTATTTCTTCCTCAGCTACCTGTCAACTTTAAATCAGCTCACACTTCTTGCTTTGCCAAACGACATTCTTCACATTTTCTGCTCATCTTTCTGTGCACTCTAAGTTTGGATTAAAGCAGGATAACCATGCCAGAGTCTGGATGTTACCTTCTCTAAAACATTTCCTGTGTGGAAGGTAGAGTGATGTCTTAGCAGGTAACTTCACACATGGCCTACCTGGTTAATTAGAGGGATGATTCTCTCTCATACCATCCCATTAGGGGAACGGGTAACTTCTAAACCCAAGGGCTCTGAAAAGGAACCACTGGCACTAGACAAACCAGGACACTGTTCATCAGCTCTAAGTAACCAGAGAGACCTCAACAGAGACTAGAGAGAGGAGGTGAAAGTGCCTGTGGCCACTCCCTCCGCATTTCCTCAACCCCTGTGAAGCTGCCACTTCCGTTTCAAGAAGTCAAAGATATTCCTCTTTCATCATAAAAGCCATTCGAGAGGGTTGCAGACATCATACCTCTGGGAAGTCGATTCTCACTCTAGAGTGTAGCCTTTTAAATTCTATTGTCCCAGTTGGATCCTCCAGCTTCTATGCCCCATCCTGAATCACAAGAAGCGATTCCAGAATTCCTAACAGCAGTTGGCCAGCCAGCCATGAGCCTCATGGGATGTGGGAAACTGGGTAGCCTAAGCACAACCAAGGAAGACAGCCTCCAAAGTTACTGTCTTTCTGACTTCACAGCCTAGATACCAAGTCACTCCTTCAATCACTCTGTGACAAGTCACTTGGGCAAGTCAGGGCCATTGCAAAGGTAATACGACCGACAAAGGGTCCTCAGTGAAGAAACAGATAAAACTGATTCAAGGACAATAAATTGATGGGAGTTCAACAATATGCTATGGACTGATGGGGAGGAAGGATATGTGGTAATTAGACAAAGGAGAAAGGTGATTGTTTGGGGGAAAAGATGGTTTTTGGTATAACCATCTCAGGATGCAAGCAGAGCCACCTGCATGGGCAAATGCACAGAGATGTCTAGAAGTGTGTTCAAGAAGCTGTGGGAATCCATGGTACTTTACTTATAGCAGCTAAAACTGGAAATAAGTAAAAGATCTAGGGGTAAATGGACTAGACCATTGTTTGTTTATCACTGGGACAAGCTCCCAGAGTCCAGTCAAAGATAGGGAGGAGTGATAATATGAGCAAAGGGGTCAACACCATGATGGGGATACCCACAGAAACAGCTGACCAGAGCTAGTGGGAGCTCACTGACTCCAGACTGACAGTGGGGGAACCTGCATAGGACAAAACTAGGTATTTGGACTGTGGGTGACAGTTGTGTGGTTTGGGGTAGTCTGTGTGGCCACTGGCAGTGGGACCAGGTTTTATCCCTAGTGCATGAACTGGCTTTTTGGAGCCCATTCTCTTTGGAGGGATACCTTGCTCAACCTAGATATAGTGTGAAGGGCCTTGGTCCTGCCTCAAAGTGATGCACCA